TGAATACATTTGGTGGGGCAGGGTGGAGAGGAGAGCCCTGTATACAGAGAGGAGTGTCTGAGTGCCCCCTGCCTGAGTTTCCGTGGTGTTCACACTTCACTCCTCTACCTTGGGCCCTGCTTTCCCACAGGAAGCTCTCTGTGTTCCTGGCAGTGTTCATCTGCCTGGTGACCTCCTCCCTCCTCATGTTTTTCCTGTTTCCGAGGTCCATCTCCGTGCAGCCTGCAGGCCTCAACTCCTCCACTGTGGCCTTCGACGAGGCTGATATCCACCTCAACATAACGGTGGGTGGGCGCCTGGGCCTCTGGACTCTGACCCCTACCTTCCCAGCAATACTTCTCCATAGCCCTCGTCCAGTGTTGTGACCCTGAGCACGCAAAGGGTGTTAGAAACCTGGGGAGAAGTAGGGGCAGCCCTGAGTCCCATAACAGGTGGTGTAGGATTGGAACTCCCCACAGTGAGGGGTCAGAATCCGGGCCCAAGAAATAAATCACAGGGTGTAATGGGGGTGGGGAGCTGTGCCTGAGACTCCCTGGGTGGGCAGGGTGAGGCTGGATCCTGAGCCAGCTTAATGGTTTTGTTAAAGTGACTCCTCACTATTAAGAGCCCCTGCAAGGGGCTCCTGGCTCTGATCCTCAGCAGCTGAGGCCCGTATTGGGGGTGGGGCTCAGGCAGGCTGGGGGTTTTAAAACTGTTTCACTTCTTTCCAAGGATGGCCACGCTCACCCCTCCCTTTCCTTGCCTTCATCCCCAGAACATCTTGAACATCTCCAATAGCAACTACTACCCCATCACTGTGACCCAGCTAACCATTGAGGTTCTGCACCTGTCCCTCGTGGTGGGGCAGGTCTCCAGCAGCCTCCTCCTACACATCGGCCCTTTGGCCAGCGAACAGGTGACTCCCACTCCCTGGCCAGCCCTGCCCACAAGTGTGTGGATGTCTGTGGTGGCGGGAAGAGGGCAGTGGCTGGAGTTGGGGCTCAGTCCTGTGCCCATTTGGTCGACAGATGTTTTATGAAGTAGCCAACAGGATCTGGGATGAAAACACATAGTGAGTATCCCTTGATTTCTTCTCTCTCGGCCTCTTTTCCGGTTGGAAACCCGGTTTTAATTCCCACCAGGTTTCCTGATTGCTTAGCAAACCCTGCAGCTAGCATTTGGCCCGCTCTCATGGCTGAGGCTGCAGCTGTGTGAGGGTTCAGGGTCCCCAGCCTCTGCCTGTTTGGATCTAGGTTGGAATGAGAAACAGGCTAGAATGTGGTTAATCCTTACAATATGTGACCTTGGGCTCTTCAGCCTGAATTGCTGAGAAGGCTAAATGTAGTTTTCTGCTGAGGGAGGGGCCAGCATGTGCCTGGGCCAAGCCGGTGAGGATTGGAGAAGTGATATTGCAGCAACGGTGATATACTCACCTTAGACAGAGGGGGGTGAGGGGTAGAGTGGCATTTGGAGCCCCTGATGGAAAGGGGCCCAGGAGGTGACAAGGCTGGGATCTGCAGATCTTTAAGCCTTCTGATAGGCCCCTTAGTGTGAAACGTGGTCCAATGTGTTTCTCTCTCTCAATCTCTCAGCAAAATCTGTAGCTGGCTGAAAATCAAAGTCCACCATGTGCTTTTACATATCCAGTAAGTAGGGCTTGGAGCCCTGGTATCCCCTCTCCCTTCTGAATCCAGCCTCTCCTCAGCCCCGCCATGTGGGAGGAGAGCCATCCCAGCTGAGCCCATGAATGTTAGTTCTTGGGAAGGGCAGGCCCAGCCCCTCCTCTAGGTCCCACCTTGCTCCTAAGCTATTAGTGTGACAGCCACAGAGCTGTCTGCAACACAGGTGGGGCAGCAATCCCAGACACCTTAGCAAAGTGGGGAACAAAAAAGGGGGGCAGTATCTGAGGGAGCCAGTCACCATCCTCAGACAGCGGGGCAGGGCCAGAGCCTTCCTCTACCTCGCAGACCTAGCAACAAAGCCTGTTTCCTCTCCAGGGGCACCTTGACCTGCACCTACCTAAGCCATTCAGAGCAGCTGGTCTTCCAGAGCTATGAATATGTGGACTGCCGGGGAAACAAATCAGTGCCCCACATGCTGGTCCCTCACCCGACGTGACCTGTCTGCTGTCCCCAAACTCCAGGCACCTGCCAGCCTGGTCTGTATGTCTCACAACTCCGTGGTGCCCAAGGAAGGACTATGGTGACTTTGCCAAAGGAAAAACACTGCTTTATCATACGTCCCCCCCC